CATTGTGTGCATATACCGCATTTTCTTTATCCATTTGTTTGTTGACAGGCATCTGGGCGGGTTTCATAGCTTGGCTATTGTGAACTGTGCTTCTGTAAACATTGGTATGCACGTATCACTACAGTACGCTGATTTGAGTTCTTTTGGACAAATACTAATAGCTGGATCATACGGTGGTGTCATTCCTATTCTTTTGAGGAATCTCCATGCTGCTTTCCAAAGTAATTGTACCAATTTGCAGGATCACCAACCATGTATGAATATACCATTTTCCCCACACCCTCACCAGCATTTCCTATTATAATAGGAAATACATATATATATATATATATATATATATATATATATATATATATATACACATGATAGTAGTGATGCAGCCACATCATTGTTTATAGCAGTTCAATTCACAATAGCTAAGCTTTGGAACCAGTCTAGATGCCCTTCAACAGCTATATGAATAAACATGGTATATTTACACAATGGAATATTACTCAGCCTATTATTGATATTCTTGATAATTGCCATTCTAACTGGAATAAGATGAAATCTCAATATGGTTTTAATTTGCATTTTCCTAGTTACCAGGGATGTTGAACATTTTTTTTCATATATTTGCTGGCCATTTGTGTTTCTTCTTTTGAGAAATGTCTGTTTAGTTCTTTTGCCCGTTCATTGATTGGGTTATTCGGGGTTTTTTAATTCTCTCTGTATAACTCTTTAATATGTCTTTTCCTTCACTTTATTTTACAGTCCCTTTAAAAGATAGTTCTAAGTACACATTTTTGAGTTGCCAGTTACTTTCTCTCAGAACACTGATTACTGCTCTCTTTGGTACAGCTGCCATTGATGTTGTTGATTAATGGACTAGCATTCTAATTTTTCTGTTCCAGGAGCTGGTATTTTTAAAGCTATCGCTGTATCTTTGATGTTATGCAATTTCAAAACCGAATCCTCAGATCTTTTTATTTGTCCTGCCTGGTAGAAGTTGTTCTTCCTATATTAATAAATTCTTACATTTTATGAAATCGAGACAATTACTAGTCATTATCTCCTTAGATAATTTGTCTTCTTCATGCTCATTATTCTTTGCGTTGGGGACTTGAATTAGCTGTATGTTGAAACTTTTCATGCTTTCCTTCGGATATTTTAACTTTCTTATATTTTCCATTCCCATCTGCTTTTCTCAATTCTTGTATTAATGGTTGTTTAACCTATTCATTGAGTTGTTAAGTTCCAGAAATACATTGTTACTTTCTAAAACTGTCTTTGGTTTTAGAAAAGACAGTTCCTTTCTTTTTGATGATTTCTTGTTTCTTACTGTTTTTGTAAGAAATTATGCTTTTTTTTTCCTTTGGACATTTTACAATCCATAACTGAGCATTCCAATATTTGAAAAGTGATTGGGCTCTAAATCAATTACTTTTGTTTCACTGAGTCTTGCCCGTGGGTATGATCTTTGATAATGAGCTAATAATTGGTTGATGTTAAGTACTCTGGGGTCTAAATGGAGGGTGTGTTCCTCCAGAGTTTGTGTATCCTTTGGAAGGTGCTAGGGGCACCAGCCTTCAGAGTCCTCAACTTGGTCCTCTCCAGAGTCTCTGGTTCAGTTCTTAGAACTTGTCACTCACTCAGGGGGTGGCCTAAAATTGCCAGGCTGGTATCTCTGTTTGTTAAAGACATACTTGTCTTTTACATTTAGATGAGAGTGCTTCACTCTCAGCATTTGGTTTTTATTTCTTCTTGTGTTTTCTCTTTGGACTTGATTTTCCTCATTTTGAAGCCTCCAGGAAGGCAATACATTTTTTTTTTTTTTTGCAAGAGCTCTTATATTCAAGTGAGAAAACCTCTCAGAGTATCTAATCTACCGTATTGCCAGCAGTGGATGTCTTCGTGATATTTTTTACTCTGGGTTGATGGCTGTGCTCCTAATAGCTGAGCTTGCCAAGAGTGAAAATTCTCCAATAAATGAACCATGACTTAAATTATTTTAAATTTAGAACATCAGAGTTAGAACACTTAGACTTTCTTGCCTATAACAGGACTGGTTTGCTCAGCTAATGGCCACAGAATGCTGATAGAATTGTGGGATTCAGTTCCGGCTGCTCTGCCTGAGGGTGCCAATAAATCTGCTACCACTGCTGAAAAGTTTACATAAAATATCAATCTTGTTGAATGATGAGTTAATGCTACAAAGTCATGCAGAAAGGCTAACATTTATAGTTACAAATACTTAGCTAGTGTGGCTGAATTGCTAAGGTTTTACTCTAACTTGATTGATACTCAAGAGACTTCTCAAGTGAGCATTATTATGGTTGATCTGGGACCAGCTTTATTCTGATACTTATTATTCTATACCTTAATTTTTTTATTCATGGAATATCCCTAAGTCCTTCCCCCCACAACACTGCAAACAGAAAACAGTACCAAAATGCTAAATGAACAGGTTTTTGTGAATAAAACACAATAGAGTCTGTAGAAATGAGAGTCTTTTACAAGGATATACTATCATGAAGTACAGTGTCCGGATTGAAAATATTAATTTGTCAAGAGAGTGAATTATGGCCTGTATGAAAAACAATCACACGATTCTGATAATGTGTTAAAAATCAGGGTTTTCTGACCATAAATTAGGTTCTTGATTTAGGAACTTTAACAATTTCTAAGTCATGCATAAAAGTACAGCAGACTCTAAGAAACTGCCTGCCTCCACCCATCCATGTAGAGAACCAGGTAGTCAGTATTTTAGTAAACACATGCCTTAGAATTACACTGAATTGTGCTGCATAGCAAATCACGTATTTACTTGAGCTCTTATAGTATTATTGCCAAAAGTGTGGATGTTACCGACAGGAGACTGGAATGAAGAAAGGAGCTGATGCAGGCAAGAATCAATAAAACACACTTATACGGATTTGAAGTTCACATCCAATAATGAACCAGCTGGCATAAGTCTTCCACCTTAGCTCTGCACAAAGCACTCTCTGCAGCCTCCTTACCAATTATGTCCTTAAGGAGCGAATAAATTCATTTACCCTTGTTTAAACACACACATGATAGCCCTGTGTACATTTCAGCCATTCCAGTTGCAGTTCAAAAAGCTGTATGTCCACAGGAGATAAATCAAAGTTAAAACATATTAAGTGAAATGACATTTCAACGCTTGCACTTTCTACCTTTAAAAACCAATCACGAGCCGAAGATATCTTTGACTATGATTTATAATTATTGAGTTCTGAATCTTTTTTGTGTTGATATTTCAGAGATTAACTTAGAAAAGCCTACCAGAGATAATGATTCAACCTCTTAGCAATTTAAATCTACTGCGAAAGCTTAACGAAGAAGTCTAAACTAAGTCCTTTGAATCTTGACATTTTTTTCTTTCTCTAAAAATCTTATTTTCATGGAAAATATATTTAAACTTCAAGAAGACTTTTGATGGACAATTTGTGATATTTAAATGCATTTTAAAATTCATGCTCAAAGTTTCATTACCAAAAACTAGCATCCATCAACTTGGCAGAACACAAAATGTAAGAAAACCTAATTAAGCCCTGATTTTTTCAAAAATATTTTTTGTTGTAGATAGACACAATACCTTTATTTTGTTTATTTAGTGGTTTTTGGTTTTTTTTTAATGTGGTACTGAGGATCGAACCCAGTGCCTCACACATGCTAGGCAAGTGCTCTATTATTGAGCTACAATCCTAGCCCCTGATTTTTTTTTTAAGTGAAGTAAGGAGATTTTAAAAGACCTCAAGGTGAGTGAAGAAGAAAGAGGAGTTTGAAATGTAAGAAAAGATCTTCAAGTATTTCTTTTCATCTTCAATTTTACACTCTTCATTGCTTTTCTTTTGTTTTGAAAAAGCTGATGAGAACACATCTAAATGTATCTGGAAAGTGTCACAGGGAATTTAAGTCAGTTCTTAAGAGAGAGAAGAGCTAACTTCATCAAGGGATAAACGAAATGCTTTTTTATTTCAAATTCTGTTTGAATGCTTATTCTATCAAAGGATGGACTGACAGAACAAGAAAAACCCCACCCCATGACTTGTGATGGGGACAACCACCACTACATAGTTTTTCAAATAACGTTGTTAGATTACAGTGAATAATGACATCAAAACTGCACTGTTCAGTTACAAAATCCTCCGTCCAATTCAGGACTCTAAAATTGTTTTCTATGTAGATATGTCCCAGTTAGTAAAATGTATATCTAGATAAGGAAATTCCACAATGTCTTTTGGAGACATCTCTCTGATTACACTAAGATCAACCAAACCCTACAACTGAAGTCCCTCTCCAGGCTTTCTACTTGCACAAACTCTGCTGCTCACGAAGCTGCTTTCAGGATGTAAGGACTAAGTCATAATTAATGTCTTCTAATAGATAAGCAACACAGAATTGAGAGCAGGGATAAAGTTATCCATTTTAAAACAGGGATATGTAAACGTTTTACAGTAAGTAACTATGGAACACAAGGCCATATCTTTTAATTATGACTGTCTTTCTGCATGTTATTCCACAACACTGAAGTATGTTTGAATAGAAGTAGGTGTTCTTTGTGTCTTTGTCAGTAAATAGCTTCTTGTCATTTGCCTACTGCATGAAAAATATGCTCAGACAGAGTTTCACAGCCTATTCAGTATAAATTCATATCCCTTCATATTTAAGAATTTCTACATAGGTCTGGATATAAATTAAGCACAAATTGTTCCACATGTTTCAAGGGGAAAAAAAATTAAGTGATTAAAAAGTGTTTGTTATTCATAATACTAAAGTCATTTTCTATCTCATTTTATATACCATAATGAATTAAATGACCAGAAACCCAACTGTATATTTAAATTAAAAGGAAACCGAAAAGAAAGAACCCCAAAAAAAAAGGGAGGCTGCATAGTGACAAGAGTCCATCTCCCCTCGTGCCAGTGAAGTTTAAGCTGTGAGCATGCTCAGACACATGGGAGGCTCTGGAGTTACTATATCAGAACTCCTTCTGAGGTGTAAGGAGGATACGTCTAATAACTCAATCGCTGTAAGCCTATTGTTATTTTTCTGATATTAAACATCTCTCCAGGCTCAGATTGATTGCAATGTTCCTTCTACTTCCTTTCATCGTTCTGATAGATGTCAAAGGTAAGGCTGCTGCTTTCTCACTTTAAGTAAGAGTAATTCCCAAAGAATATAAAAAATTCTATTTAGTTCTATGTATGGTATTCACAATAGACTCATGGCAGTCTTTGAAAAATAGACAACACTTTTGCGTTTCATTATCATTATCCCTAACTGCTGGTAGCCCCATACAGCCTAGCAATTTCTGGATTCGACAAATTTTTCATAGAAACTTGCCTTTATGTGTTATTAAAGCCATAGATGAAATAACTTTTAAAAACAATGCTTACTATATCAATTATAACAGGGAAACTACTTTTAGTATTTGTTTTTGTAAAGTAGGATAAATTAATAAACTAAAAATTTATTTGTAAAAATTGAACCTGTTGTAATAAAAAAAATGTAATTGTAACAAAAAAATGTAATTGTTAGTAACTGTTTTATTATTAATACAAATTAGGAACTGTAAAGTCATACAAATCTAAAACACAGTATCTCTCCCTAAAAATTAACCTTTATAAAACAAAGTTATCAAAAAAAATCTACAAAAATGACTTAAGATTGTGAAGTGTCTTCACAGAAGTAACTGATTTTGATGTTATTCTGATTTTTTGTACAATAAAGCCAAATGACAGAAAACAAATCTACAAAAGTGCATCTATTTATATAATTCTTTATTTTTAATTTGAGGCAATTTTAATTTAGTCAAACTGCTCATTTTTAAATCAGTGACATTTTTTGGAAAGCTGACCAAAAAAATTAAACTTAAATCTTTACCCGGCTTTAAAGAAAGAAACTTGTTTTGTTGTGAGCTCATATACTTAAAATCTACTCATCACATCATGGTATACTGGGCTTATCATTAACATAATTTTAAAAATGCACTTATTTCAATTTATAATGTTTCTTCAAGACTTTTGATAAGCCTCAGAGAATAAACATTAGAATTTAAAATTATTTTTGTTTTCTGAGAAATCATTTTCTGGTTTTTAAAATACTTAATGTTATTAGACGTATTCCAAATAGACATTTAAATCATAAAATAAAGTGACATATTTATGAGCATAAAGGCAAGATGTACAAGCATAAAATGGAATATTTAAGAATATATAATAAAAGATTATAAAATACTTAAATTTTATTTTGAATTTGAAGTGTTACTAAATTATCCTTTCAAATTATTTCAAAATATTATCTCCAAGCACAATTTTTATTCTGTTTCAATCTCTCTTACATGAAAACCTAGGGAGAAACAATCTATGAACTCATCTTGCCTGAAATACAGTTGTAGAAAGCAGTCTATTTCTTTGATTTAAGATCTTACCTCAGAAGTTCATGTCCTGTCCATATTTGTAATATTCAATTTTACAGCATTTTTAAGAATGAAGAGTTAAAAGTTGGTTTCTGGATTTAAGATCTATCATAGAGATCACCAGTGCCCTTAAAAATGCCCTTAGTGTACAGAACTGTAACTGCAGTTAACCAATTTCACTCTACTCTGCTTTTGCTCATGATAATATATCTATCTGATTTTGCTTAAACCCTATAAGGAAAAAAAAAAAAACTATCTCTAAAGTAGTGGCTTCTGATTTGCTATAATGTGATGGCATTCTTTAAATAAACAAAAAAAAGTTCTAAGCAAATCATTTTGTTTTATTTCTAAGTAAATGAAATTTCTAATGCCAAATACCAGGTCCACAGTACCAACTAATAAAGGTTTATTGGTTAATTCTATTTCTTTAAAAATTTTTATTTTCTAATTTTATATCATCTTTGATTACTAATTTAAACTTTTATATTAATAATAATTCATTTCCAAAATAATTATTGATCCATGCTGTGATATCTTTTCTCTGCTTGTGGAAATGAGTATTTACTACATAATTAAACTGTTTTCTTTTTCACAATGTAATCGTAGATGGCTATAGTGGTAAGGTTCTTGATAATAATCAAAGAAGGGTCATTAAAAATTATATCAGAGTGAAGATTGCTTTAAAATTTAAATAAACATTTGTGCTAGACTCTTAAAGCAGTCTAAACAAAATGAAAAGTTAGAAATATGATGATTGTCTTCTATTTTCAGGCCATGATCACCCTGGAGTGAGTGTCTAGAAATGAATAAAACTGAGTATCTACTCACAGTAACTGATAACTAGAGATAATATTCTTATATGTGTTTTATCATTAATTTATTCATTGTGCATTCTTAAGCCACCTTTTTTAAATGTTGTTGATGAACTAATTAGGGACAATATTACAAACCAAAATCAAGTGCTTGTATAGGAAATTAAAGTATCAAGTATTAAGGATGCTACTGGATAACTTATTCAAATAATTTACTAACCTTCAAAAAATGCCTTCATGCAAAGCAGAGCCTGATTAGAATCCTGCAGTGGGCAGTGTTCGACTGCCCCCTAGCGGCCAAGTTCAAGGTATGCCTTGGAGGGTCCTTTCCAAGCGATGTCAGTTATCTTGGTCGCTAAGACTTAAGAAAAGGCTTTCCATCTGCATTTCCATTTCACACAATTACATCCATGCTGCGGAGAGTGTAAAAATCAATTCTGCTTCAGGCCAATCATCCTAAAGGGCTAAAGCTGTACTGCTAATAAGAAAGAAACTCACCTGCTTAAGGCGAATGGAGCCCTCTGTAAGAGAGAAAGTTGGGAAACCCAGAAACCAAGGCTTCCTACCTGTGAGAACTCAATGCACTAGCTGAATACATATCCCAGTAGATGTTTACTCACTTGCTGGTTGTACTGTGAGTGAATAAGACCAGGTGTAATAAAAGTTTTAAGGCCTCTCATTGAAGTGGCAAAATTGTCTACCACTCAAAGGTTAGAGACAAAATTGAAGGTGTTCCTTTTCAATAAGTCAGTTTGAAAAGTTACACATTTTATTCCTGGAAAATAGTGTCCTAAACAGAATTCAATTAAGAAGGAATGCTTTTACATAACTATGAAACTATTAAGGCACTTTTTAAAGGAATTTATACCTATTTAAGAAGCCCAAATGTCCTGGTTTACTTATCTGGTAAATACATGATTTATTCATGAAGAATGAACATGCTTATCTTAGATGAGAAATAATAGTGCTTTTAGAGATACAGTTACCTGGGGGGAAAAAAACAAATCTCTCTTGCATGTTTTATTCACGTTACATCAGTTTCTCACCCCTATGCTTCCAAGGATGAGAAGGGACCCTTCCAGGATTTAGTATGTATTTTAAAAACTAAAGCTTGCTATGATGGTCAGCACTGTTAAATGCCTCTGAAAAGCACCCTAAAACCAAAATAAAATAACTGACTTAGTGCTTGTGTGTTAAGCTTTAATATTAGAAAGGAATTGTAACTGAAAAGTTAACTTTATTGTGAAATCAAGGGCCATTAAAAGATCTTCAACATGATTGAGAAAATTCTGGCCCTGGGACTGGGGTTATAGCTCAGTGGTAGAGTGGTTGCCTAGTATGTGTAAGGCACTGGATTTGATTCTCAGCACCACATAAAAATAAATAAAATACAATATAAAAAAATATAATGTTAAAAATAAATTCTGGCCTTCCGTTCTTACCCTGCCCCTCCTTTCCCAGTTCTTCTGACTTAGCCCTTTACTTCTGTTCTTCTCCATACCCTTTTCCCCTTCTCTCCCACTCCCTCCTTTCTCTTGCTTTTTTTCTTACTTTATTTTTTAATTGATGCCCAGAAAATAGGCCTATTTGGGGGGTGTTTTGATATATGTATACATTATGTAATGTTCAAATCAGGGTAAACATATCTCGCTCCTCAAATATTTGTCATTCATAGTGAAAACATTCAAAATTCTTTTTTCTAGTCTATTCCTTTACATGTTTATTAGCATGCATTAATGGTACATATTAAAGGGATACAGTATGATAGCTCAACCCATGCATACAGCAGGCACTGATCCACCCTGGGTAGTTAGCATTTCCCTCTCCTTATCATTTCTTTGTTTATAGCCTTCAAATTTCTCCTTCTTGCACAGAAAGACAAATGCTTAATATTCTCACAGTGAAAGCAAAAAAACAAAAAGTCTATCCAAATGTAAAGTAGTGATTACCAGAGGCTGGGAAGGGTAAAGAGAAGGATGGGCGAAGGAGGGATCATGGAAAGTTGGTTAATAGGGACCAAAACACAGAAGGAATAAATTCTGGTGTTCCTCAGCTCAGAGGGATGACTAGAGGCCACAAAAACCTCTTTGGTATTTTATGAAGCTGTCACTTTTTTCCATATGTTCATTTCTTGTGTTTTTCTCCTCTTCTCGCTGTTGTGTGCATTTGTCTTGGACATGCTCCGGGCCTCTCTTCCCACATCTCATCCACTCACTCTCATCTCTCTTCCTGGTTTCCTCCATACTGAAATCTTCCTCTCTTTTCTTGTCTGTTCCAACCCTCTTGCTCTAATCTCTGACTCTCCCCTTGACCTTGCTACATCCCATCCTCTCTAATTCCCACATCTGCTCCATCCTGGCTACCCACATCTGCCTTGCATTTCCACCTTGGCTACATCCAGTCCCTCAACCTGCCCCTTTATTCCAGTATGCCTCACTTCTAATCACTTCCTGCTGTGAGCTTCCTTCCCAGTGACTTCCTGTCTCCTCCCCTTATTTTCTTTCTGTTCTTTGTCTCTATCCCATCATCTCCTGACTTCCTTTCTGTTCTTTGTCTCTATGTCATCATCTCCTGGCCTGATCAGTGGTCACCAACCAGAACTAAATGAGTACTGTATCTCAGTACTCAAAACTGACATGCTCTTTTTAGGTCCTAGTGATTTGTCTATAATTAGGAAATCCAAAAACCTGTGATAACTGAAAGTTTGATCGCCTTTGCCTAAAAATATCTGGTCAGAATGTCTTTATGCATGATAACAAAATTACATGTTTGTGCAATAGCAAGTTGTGAATGTATTTGATGATGGAATTTTGCCCCAGATCTAGTAGGAAATGTTATATAATTTATAGCACATGCATCAAATCATCTTTCTAAAATTAAAAATATACATAAATATTACA